TTTGTCCAAATAAGGACATGGGGACACTGTGATAAAAGAGACTACATGTGTATATAGAATGAAAGCAGAGCCTTTTCTTGACTGGCTATGGCTACATCTGGAGTAGAAGACTGGGATTGTGTATTTTGACTTTAATCTGGACACATTTAAACTCCATTAGCTGACCATGGTCACTGTGTTAAGTTTAAGAGCTCTTTCCATGCCTTGTACGGGCTGCTTCTTAACCGCGACAAGTCATCGATTCATCTGTTTCCAAAGCGGATAAGGTTTGGATGTTGGCAGGAACTACTGGGTCAAAGCAGACTGCTGTAGATTTTATAGACGGCATTGACTTTTCTTAAAAGACACCCTATCTTTATAAAACAGTTTACATGATCTCTATGCTTATTTTCCTGTACGTTTAAGGGCTTTTCAGTGAGCTAAAACAGAAAGAGTCTTCTAAACCATAGTTCAGTGTCCACCACAATACTTGTAATAGGATAACTTTGTCACCATTTTTTATGTAATGCATTTAGCTTCCAAAATTAAATCACAAAACTGTGATTCTGCATCATGTGATTTTTGTTTATTTGACCAAGTAGATGGACTCTCGCTTTCTTTTTTTTGGTGGTCTTAGATACTGAAGCTTGGAGTGTAACTCACACCAAAGTCCTCCTTTTTTCAATGTAAACTGTAAGGCGTGAATCTATAGGGTGCTATTTATAGTAATGCTTTTTTTACATTTACATCTGATATATTTCATTTCTGCAATATTTGTGCCAAAACCAGCAGCTATTGCGGTGGAATTTTCCCATTGGTTCAGGTGATTGGTAGAGATATTTTTCACAGATAAAGCCCTTCAGTCACCATGGCTCCAAACTTGTGAGAGGCAGTGGCAGAGGGACTATATATTGATCTGCTGTTCGTGGAAATTTTTCATTTGCTTTAGTTTATTCCTAATACTGCAAAAGAGACATGTTCAATGGTTTGAGGGCATCAGTGCTTATTTATGTAAGTGAGTGTGGTCAGCTGATATGATGTCTTTCTTTCTTGAGTCCATTGACACGACATTACAAAAGTCCTAGGGCTGCAATTAATGATTCTTTTTCAAATCAATTAAACTGTTGATTATTTTTTCAATTAATTGATTAATAATCGGATAGCCAGAAGTTCCTTGAAGAAGATGTTTTATGAAACATGAAATGAAGCCAGGTGAAAATAAAACTTCAGAGCAGCGACATCGTGTATATATTTTTTACAATCATGGTTTAATTACTGCTCTAAGTTGGTTGCTCTGTCTCTACACTCAAGTTAATGATTAATTGCTTACTGATTGCAAAAAAAAGAAAATTAAAAACAATCCATTTGTTTCCAACTTGGAAAAAAACCCCCAGTGAATTGTTTTTAATTCCTTTTTTTTGGAATGAGTTTGACCTGGATGACTGAGAACCTTCAGCAGCAAATTGATTACTGAATTAGTTGACTATTATTTTAATGATCGTTTAATCATGATTAATCCGATTTATTGTTTCAGCCCTAAACTTTACAGTGATTTAGTATTTACTTTTTTTAATTCAAAGTTAACGTCTCCAACATTGATACTGCAGGGTTTAAATAGCTTACACCTACACCTCAAGATGAATCCAGATACTGTTACCTAGGGTGAAGGATTTTGTGAAAAATCTAAATTGTCATTAATCTCAAAGAATATTCCAATTGCAATTTTTATCACGATTCCCCTTTAAACTAAGCAGAAATATGTGGATAGGGTTTCAGTTCTTCCATGACCTTGTTGCAGGACTTTAGTGTAAACCTTGTGTGGCAAAGCTCCTACTGTACTACTTGCAACTGTCTCTTCCATTCTGTGCATTGGCAAAACAATTTCAAGTATATCACTGCCACCAAAAATGCTGCAGGGAGAAATGTATTAACCTCATTTACCTGACTCTTGTTAAATGTAAGGTACCGTAACTAAAATTGAGTGCAATTTGAAAATTGCGTTTTGGTAAATTGTGATTATATTGCAAATGCTATTAATGGCCCAGCCCTGGATAGTTCTTAATAAATACTTCATAAATCAGATATATAGTGTTTACATGATATGAAAACATTTTTTTCCTTAGTAAAAAATGGACACTGTGCCCAATATCGCAGCTCCTGCTATGGGACATTTCTTGAAACATCTTTGTATTTTTCAAAAACTCCCCACTGTTAGTTGGACCTTTAACCCTAAAACCTTTATAGAAGTCCTACAGAAACACAACAGTTTCTGAACAGAAATAGTACAGATTGAGACGAAGAATTATTTTGGATGAATAAGGGAATGTTTCCCATCAGATAATAATGTAACATATGCCCTTTTACTCTGAAAGTCAGCGTTATTTGATTAAACACCCTCTTCATAGCAGATGATGGACTGCTGGCTGGTTTTCTTTTTGTCTCTGTTCATTGAGAACTGATGACAGATAAATTGTTCTTTTTGTTTGGACCCTTCTCCTTCTCAGAAGCTGTGTCATTTTGTTGGATTCCCAGAGAGGAGCATGATTATAGGTACCTTGTGGAGCATAAAGGCAGAGTTAAGAGAGCTTTTAAATTGAAGGGTGGGGTACTTAATTCGATTAGGTGAGTTGCCATCACAAATGCCTGTTCTTCTGCCTGTCATTATCTCCAAAGCAATGCTGGGATCTGGTTTAGAAAATACTTATTAGATTCGGATCAAATTTTTTCATTCCTCATTTTTTTAGGTGCGCTTATTCTCCTGCATAATACCTTTCTTTATTTTTTCTCTTTACAGTTGTTTCACTAAACACAAATCTGAAACTAGATGCATAAAAAGATTTTTCTTTACATCACTGCACAGCTGTAGGAAAACACGTGCAACTCAAGCGTGTTTCAATGGAAACCTCTGTTTTGAGGATGTATTTTTAATTGATTTCTGCTGCATGTTAGTCACTCATAACCACATCCAGCTGGAGGTTATTACAGGTCTCCTCCGGCAGCTTTGAAGCGGAGCTAAAATGTGGCCGTCCATCAATTGAAAATTTCAGTGGCCTATTTTATTTTAAGTGGTTGTTTTAGTTACAAGTTGAGTTTTTGAACAGTTTGTGCTCTGGTCGGTTCATAGTGTACTTTTTAGTTAGTTAACATAAAATTTTGCAAATAATCCTTTAAACCAAACAATAACCAGTTGACATACTGTATTTTGTGGAAACCTCTTTTGATATAATTAGAACATTTAGATCATTTTAGATTGATTTTCTTGTTCAAAACTGATAAAAACACAGGGATACTGGTCACAGAGGCATTTCTTAGATTAATAGCCACACTGTATGAACTGAAGCAATTTCCTAAAAAGTTGTAGTCTGGTTAATCTGCTGTGGTAGTGTCACAAAAATAGCTGTCTCAAGAAAACTCCTAGAAGAACACTTTTCCTACTGTGAACATGGTATTGGTAGCATCATGGTGTGGGGTTCACTTTCCTCTGATGGAGAAGAGTTAAGCCAGCGTCCTTAAGTAAATCCGTCAGAAAATGTATTTAAATTTGACGAAAACTTTGGACATTGCATATTCTTAAACCAATAGATGTAGAAAATGTTTTCAGATTACAATTTGACTGAGTGCTGAGTAACTGCTTCACATTAGGTGTGTTTATATGGACGCAAGTAATTGGAATAAAGTGTCAATTGGACCAGAAATATGTCATGTAAACATGTCAGTCAGAATTTTTTGATCTTTGATCTAGAGTAGGATAGGAATGAAATTGTGCACTTACCTTACATCAATGTGACGTACAGTAGAGTGGTTAATTGCTGTGGCTAGCTGCAATCACAGTATTTGAATAAGCATATTTTTCGTGACAAATCAGCCAACCAGTCAAATTAGATCTACTGTGGCTGCTTCTTCTGATTGCTTAAGCCCATATAAATGGTACAATCTGATTATTTTGTTTAATAACTTGAATGTATCTCATTCATTTTGTACAATCATAGATCATAACTATTATTCTCTGTTGAATTGTACAGAATGCTTGATTAAATGCTTGAAAAAATCCTTCATGGCTTCATATTTTTATATTTCGAAAACTGGCCTTGATGCAGTGCTCTATAAAGGATATTCCCTGTTTTTTGTTTCTTATACATTTAAATTCCTATATATTTTAAATTAGTGGATTTCCTTACCTTATTTGTCCAAAGTTATTCTAATGAGGAGATGGCCCTCTTTGTACAAACTTTTGCTTTTGGGAAGACTTGCTACCGGTGTGTGCCACGATCTAGCTCCTGGCTGCTTGAACAGCTGTTTGTCCTGGGTGGTTTTGGCGTGTGACGGCTGTGGTGCAGGGTCAAACTCCATGTCACATTGTTCTGACCCAGCGTACGCCTGCGGTGGCCTGGTCACAGCCAACAAAACCGGCTTGAGAGTGTGCAAATTGCATGGTTGTGGTCTGAGGGAGGCAAGCGGTGGACCTTGCAAGCGAAATGGTTTGAAGCATGGGTTTTTTTCAACCCATGATCATGGGAATCTATAAATGGGCACATCTCTGTTTAGTGCCTAAATTGGAAAACATAAATTTTGCATTGTCCTGCTGAGTAACCAGTTCCTTCTGAGACAGCAAGAGATGCAAAATAGAAAAAATTATAAAAGAGATGGCTATAATTACACCTTATTTTAGGTGTAGGTATTTTGGAGCTGCTAATACAGTGATTCCAGCATTGGCTGAATTTATAAGCAAACTGCAGAGCAGCTTTTGCTTCCTTGCACCAGCAGGGAGCTTCAAAAACACAAAAATAAATACAGAATTATATAGAAATGGGATTTATTATAATTTTAGATACAATAAAGGTAGAGAATTATGTGTTTGAGGTAGCAGATATTATTTATGGTATTAATTTTTTCCCTTTTTTCTTTTTAAAGGCCCATAAAACGCTGAATAACTCCATGTATTCACACTCTGTAAACAACACCATGACAATAAATTGAATCCTAACAACTTTCTATCTTTGTGTCTGTTTTCTTCTTTGTAGCGGAACCAGCAGACCTCTTGAAGATTTTAGATTTTCACAATTTACCCGAGGGTGTTACAAAAACGACGGGTTTCTGCTCACATAGGAGGTCAACACAAGGGCCCGATGTGGCGTACAGAGTAACCAAAGACGCCCAGCTCACCGCCCCCACCAAACAGCTTTACCCAGGTGAGTGTCTCTGTCAAAGCTTTGACTCTTATTCATAGTTTAGAGGTAATAATTATTCAGATTCACTAATCAGGGATTTTTTGGCTGATTTTTTATACCCCTTTTGGCCAAATGCTCCTAAAGAACATTACATATCAACAATGTTTACTTTGTTAAATCCAAGCAATTAAAACAAGGTTCTGTCTCACATACATAGGTATACAATCAGTTTATTATATTTATACAATAAACCTGGATCTTACAGTGTACTTTTTTGAAAGAAAACAACTTAGATTTCCATTTCAAAGCTTTTCAATGAAAATGAGGACTTTTTCCCTAAAAGTCCCACAGCAGATATGTGGGATCCAGCCCTTTAATATTTGATGTCGTAGGAGGAGGCTGGACAGTGGGAATGCAGTGAAAGCAGGGGTGGGAGAGAGGATAGGGGGAGATGGGGTTGCTCCACTTTTCTCTTGTTTTGCTGTGCTGACGTGGCTCTGGGCTGCTGCTCTTTTCTCTTCTTCCTTTCCCTTGCCTGTCTTTTACCCCCTCCAGCATTATAATTTCTTTTCCCTATCATTTCTCCAAGCCTGCTGCTGCCCCGCAGTGTTTTGTTCCTTTCTGTTTTTATCTCATTTCCATCGTGTGATCCTTGCTGAACTCCAGAGAAGCCACTGCGGTGAGACTGAGCTTATTTTCGATAAAACCCAGATTGGACGACATCCTCAATGACGGTTCTGTCAGAGGCTAAGCTGGTCTTTTCAATTGCTGCCGACTCTTTCTTTGTGCCTTAAATTGAGCCACGAGGCTTCTGTGGCTTGCATGCACTTACACGCTCTCCAATCAAACAAATGCCTTTTTACTTTGATGCTCAATGACAGCGCAGCCCCTTATGAGTCTTTGTTTAGACACACATTGCTATAATTACACATGTGCTGCTTTGGATGATCCGAAATAACAGTCCACATAAAACAAACCAACTGAAGGGGGTTATATCAGGCACCTCATTGTCTTTAGGTGCAAACACACTAACCAGCTGTCTGTGGCTTGAGAGATTTAAAATCCAGCCCCCACATTTGTGAAGCTGCTCCTGTCTCGCCTCTCTGATGACAATATTCGCTAATATATTCCAGAATGCAACAACAAGACTGACATCACCTTATTATCCCCTCTTATTGGTAGTTATTATTTTGGCTCACAGTACTGTTTGCTTTAATAATCTGCACAGCATCCTTTTCCTATGAAACATTACAGAAAAAGTCACAGACAGAGCAGTAAAAGAAGAAAGATGTGAAAATATGGTTCTTTAGTTCTGATTATAGAATAGGAACCACAGCAGCTCTGATTGGGAACACTGGCCTGTGACCCAGTAACCACAGACAGTCTGCGATGATGTGTTGGAAAGGAGCAAGCACAGACATGCAATCATTAGGCAAACATGTGGAAGAGATGAATCATCTAAAAACCACTGAGGCTTTATAAACACTGGAGCCTTTTCTTACCTTTATTACCTCAATCACTGGTGGCAGAAAAGGAAGTGTCTGGAGAAAATGGATAATAGCCAACTAACAGCTGCTCTTGGCTTTTCTTTGAATCATATTAGTGGTAATTTAGCATTTGTTCAGATTCGGTCAAAACTCCCAAAAGACTGTACCAATAATCTTAAATTAGGGTCATAAAAGGCAGGATTAAATCCTTCAATTGATAGGAATCTTGACATGGTTTTGCTGTTTTTAAATGGAGTGATATTTAATAATATAAGTAATAAGTAATTTCTTCAGATAAAGCTAATCACTTAACCTAAATTAAGTGTATTTATAGATCTTATCCTTAGTAAGTTAGTAAATAATTGCTCAGCTATTAGCAATAAGCAATTTGTATGATATATTAGTGTTGGCCAATGTTTATTTCTGTCTTGTTTCCATTTCTGTACGTGTTTCCCAAAGTTGAGGGGAGGAAACTGGTCATGTCGTGATTGTTTAAGTATGTAACAGTGATAGTGATGCAAGGCAGGATTGAAGTCTGTCAAGTTAAAGTACAGGTAATGGGTAAGAAAAAAAAAGATAATATAGCTAAATATTAGTTATATAAATGTTCATATCAATGTTGACCCAAAACTTTTATTTGTTTTACAAAATGTGTCGGGATCAATAGTGCAAGATTTACTATTTCTGAAGTAAATACAGCTTAATAATAAAGTTCATAGTGAGTCTTTCTACTGCAGTCATACGTTTTAGGGTGTTTTGTTTGAATGCAACAGATTTTTTTAAGAAGATAGTAAAACATCCAGCCACAATCATTAAAAACAAAACAAAGAACCAAAAACATTGTTCTTGAAATTCCATTTTGGTTAAACTGTTGTTCTGGTGGGAATAACAATGTTACCCAGTTACTGGGTAACTCTATATTACTGTATTTTTGCAACAAACCCAAGCCAGCATGAATTCCAAAGTGACTTTCTGTCCAATTATGGAGAAACCAGTTTGATCCAGACTTTAAGAAGAAAATATCATGTCCTTCCAACAGAGTTCTGTCCTATTGAGAGATCTCAGTCCAATTTCCAGTTTAATCAGAGTTATAATGCAAAGCACATGTGCTGGTATGTCACTTGGTAAAAGGGACTAGTGGATTATATCCACAGCAAGTAGGAGACAACAATAGAAATGAACCAAACTCTTCAAACTTAAGAGAGTCCCAAAAGAGCAATGGTCTCTGTGGGCAGTCTTCAGCCAAAAGTGGCTAGAGTTGGAGGGAAAGGCTGCAATCAAATTGAAAACTGAAAAACATATCCAAATTCTGTCCCAGAAATGATGCCATTTCAAGATTATAAAGATTAGAGTTTTTGATTCTTCTCTGGATTAAACCAATTAAAGGTATAGTGGAGGATGTCAATCATTCTGGTGATATGTTTACATAAGGCCATCCTACATACTCATCCCCGTTTTCTTTTAATGCTGGTGAGTCTGACATAGTGGAAAAATTGTAAATCTTCTTTTGGAACGTAAGCTTGTATGAGCGATGCAAACAGCACCTTTTAAACAGAGTGTGCACGAGGAGAAATGGGCCCGTGCACGCTCTCACACACGTTTGATAGGCGTTTGCTCTCAGGAGCATGTGCATTTTTTTTGTAAGTAGAGAAGGCTGGTCTTTTAAAACATTCGAGACAATCCTCCACAATACCTTTAAGAGAAGCTTGGTAATATTCTGGTGAAGATTCTCAGTCATCCAGGTCATAGTCGTTCCAATAAAATGACTATGGGTTCAATTTACATGTTTTCTAAGCCATAACAAAGCTTTTGTTGGGCTACGCTATAAAAGCCTGGAGATCCTGAGAAGCAAAACGTCTTAAAACTTGGAGAAAAAAGTTTGGTGGTTTTGTTTTTAGCTTTTTCTTAAGCTTTGTAATAGTTTTTTCTCTCCTTGAATTATTATTTTTTGAAGATAAACATCAAATTTGCTGCTTACATCTTGATAAGAAATTGTATTCATGCCATCATGTCCGGTATAACCTTTTTAGGACACTCAGTGAAATACTTTGAAAACCTAAATTTCAGGCCAATAGTTTCATTTGAAAACAGGACAAGACCTTATTACCATTGTAACATTCAAAAACTATAGATATTTTGATTTATGCCAATGCAATAACAAATGCCAACTTGCCACAATATACTAAGAAAAATAACAAAAGTACTTCTATAAGAAACCCATGAAAAACACTCTGAGAGTGAAAGAACCATGTTTGGTACAGCATAACCTTTGAGGCATTAATGCTAATACTGAAACCTACGTTTTTCTTAGTTTATAAACATAAGTATAATTGTTAACTAGGCTTATTAGCTTTTCAACTTTACTTTTTATCTTTTAATTTCACTTTTTACCTTTTTTTTTTCTTGACTTGTTAACTTTTTTTCCGACTTATTTACAATAGGTAATATATCATTGAAGGGCTCATCTAATTGGTCAAATGCCAAAATAAGATGTACAGCCATGTAGCAGTATCTTTGCTGAATGGCTGGGTATAGATCTTGTGCTTTTAGACCTCACTTAGGGATGGGGGGACTCCATTTGTAAGGGGTATGCAAGTGATCAAAAATGGTAACTTGCCCTAAGGGTTCAACATCCCCCTGAACGCCTTAAAATAAGTCTATATAAACCCCTGATGACCCCAGAGGCTTTTTTTTTCATAGTTCTCTTACAGTAAGTTCTTCAATTTTTTGTCCTTCACCCCCCTTATTGTGTATAAAAGCAAGAGAAACATTAATTCCAGCTCTTTAGATTAAATGATAACTCCCATTATAGATTTTGGTAAGTTTAGACAAATCTGTATTTTCTATGTATTTTATTGTAGCTGTTTTGCAACTTAAAGCACACAAAGACCTGAAATAAATTGCCCTCAATGCAGATAGATAGCTATTACCCAGAGAAAAAGGAAATCATTGTCTAAAAGATGATATTTCTAGATACTCTGATGAAGTTGAAAAAGTAAGATATTCAAATAAATGTGACAAATGCTTCACTTACATTTTCTAATTCTTCTTTTATACATCTTTAAAAGGGGTGCCAATGTGCATGCTTCAACTCTTACTGCTCCAAAATCCAGGACCACTGAAAAACTGATGATTCCTGCATAGATAGAAATGTTTACAGGGGCGAGGGAATAATCTAATTACAGCATTTTGGACTTTCCACCTCATTAAATTGCTTTTAAACACACAAACTGATGGCAGAACTCATAAGAAAAAGTGCCAATAGGAGGAATTCTAACTCTATTAAGTTTTACATATTGTACTTTGCAAAAGAAGGAAATTTAATTTGGTTATTCCCTTCATGGAAAATATATCAGATTATTCCTATGTGCCTGCTTTAGAAGTCTGGGTTTCTCTTCTTGGGTTTCTGCTTTTTCCTAATCTTCTTTGGCCCTGAACTGCTGGGTGGTGATGCCAGTGTAAACTCTCCGAACCTTTGGCACATTACTACCGTATGTCAGCAGAAGGCAGAGAATCGTTACCACTAGTTTAAAATAGATACATTCAAAGAAAAAAAATACAAAGAAAAAAAATACTCCTGTGTTTGACAACCCGTTATTTTCTGAGAACAAGGAATCATTTATTTTAATTTTTTTAGTTTTCTGTGCTTCTTGACTATTATCTATATTTCATTGGAGGTCATTGCAGGACATTGGGTATTTAATGCAATGAAATGGAGATTTGGGCGGGGCTAAAACACAGAAGCCATAATAAGGAAAAAGAAAGTCCAATGACTATTTCCTTTTTGCTTAAATTGACTTTGCTTCTTTTTTTTTCACTATGCAGGAACAAGAAGAATTATGTAAAGTTTTTCTTTATCATGTTTTTGTTTATGAGGACATCATTAAAACTATTCAGTGCTACATTAGAGCATGCGAACTTTGGTTTGGAGACATTACTTTAAAACAAGATGTAGACCCACAGCTGGTTTGTAATTGTCCCTCTTGCATAATTGGATGGAATAACATAGACCAGACTACGCTTCAACATTGGGCATAAATCAAAAATATCTGCGACAAGCTCACTGCGACCCACTGCTGCGGGAGCATAACCAGCCCTTTAGTTGTTACTTCAATCTTTTCACCATTTTAGATTTTTCCTCTAATCTTTGTCTTCCCTTTTTAAGACTCAGCCTTTCTAAACCCAATTCAACATCTGCCAGTTAAAGCAATGCTTCTCATAAGAAACCAAACAGAATTCCAGAGCGAGGATTCTGCCAAGGCATGTGTTGTCCACATGATGCGATCTGAGGGTTATTGTAGAGATGAGAGAAAAAGGCAGGAAGACGAGGCAGTAAGCAAACAAACACCTAGTTACTGACAAGAAAAGTAAGAGAGAAGATATGAAGGAGAACATAAAGAAGGCAGACATATACTAATTTGACTCTAAGAACTTCTCTTCCTTAATCTAAATAGAGGTTTACTCACCCCAATTTCCTTGAGCCACCATTTTTCTCCACATAATTTACTATGAGCAACCCATCAGTAGTGATTGCAATTTAACATTCCCTAACTAATCCCAAGTAATTTTGTAAATAATGGCATTAAACAAATCTTTGATGGCGTTTCAACAGTATTTCATCCCTAAACCCTACTTCTCTCTTCTGCTTATTTGGAAACCACAGAAGACATTTATAGAGATCTAGTGGTCTCTTTGCTTATGTTACACTTAGTCCACAACACAGCGTCTTCATAACAGTCATGACTTTAATCACTTTTTCAGGATAAACATGAAACATTTGTAGGGATGTAGCACTGCATTGAGCATATATGCTTGCAAATGCATGACACAAGATTATGGTAACTGGCCAGAGGCGAGGCCGCCATACAGTTGGCGACAGCAGGACACACCTTGTCCCTCTCCAAGGACACACCTTGGAGAGGGACGAGGCGGGGTTTCAACCAACTCAATGGTTACAGGGTTAACCTCAACCTCCTGAGCTTTAAGCAGTTTAATTATAGCTAACCTTTATTTAGTTTTCATAAATAAGGTTTTTAAAAAAAATCAAAAGCTGTTTATTTAAACAATCTTATATCAGCGTAGAACTTTCTAGTCTCAATTTAACTGGTTTGTTTCACCACTGTTTTTCATGCTTAACTATTTCTACCATATCTTGAAGAAAATCATCTCTTTTTGTTTTTGATTTTTTCAGAAGCTTAAAATAACAGTATTTTATATTTTATTTTTTACATAACTGATTGCCAACAGGGGGTACTCGTACCCCTAGTGGTCTGCCAGTGCATTGCAAAGGGTACATAAAAATATTTTACTTCTCAGGTAATAAAATGAAATAGGGCTGGGATCTAATAAACTTTGTAAGGACGCAACTAAAAAAATAAAACACACTTTTTTCAACCAAATAGTAAGTTTTTCTTATATTTTTGAATTCATCTTCAGGTTTGACTCACATCAAAACCAAGTAGAGTAAAAGACTGGATGTAGAGAACGGTATTAGCTGTTTTTAGGTTATTAAAGCAGCTCAGGTGTCATGAATGTTAAAAAACAAAGTAAAACTAATTAAGTCTGACTATAATTTTTGTTCAGTATTTTATTCCCAGTTCTTCAAGTTTAAATGTGATTATAAGGGAGTTACTCAGAGGAGCTGAGCTTTTTTTTTTAGAATTTATATGGATTCCTTACTAACTTCCAGGCAACATATTTATGTTGCTTTTTTTTATTTGAGTTGGAAAGAATAAAATGCCAAAAGATTAAATGCTCAAGTTAAAAAGATGAAATATAATAGTATTTATTTTACTTACTTACAAAATGCCCAAAGGGGTAAAAAGGTTGTGAAACACTGCTATAGATTTTCAAACTTTTACTCTTTAAAATATCCCTTTAACTCAATGAGTTACCAGCTAACTAGTTACTAGTTGTGATGTTTTCACATTCACAGTGTGTGACCCCCCGCATTCTAAAAATACTGACAAAAAACAATATAAAATTCTTTAAAAGTGTCTTCAGCACTTTTATACCTGTATTGTCGAATTGTCCATGCAGATCTCTCAGTACTCTTGAACATCAGAACAACTTCCCCTCTTCCTTCGAAATAAGGGTGTCAAACAGCTCTTTACTAAAATGCTTGAGTCTTATTTGATGACATGGAGTCACATCCGGACAGCAGCTGGATGGTGGCCATTTCTTTTAAAATAGACTCTAATCTATTTAAAGCTAAAAAAAAATTGAATCTACAGTACGACACTGGAGGCAGTTCTTTCCCCTAAAAGTTGAGAGTTTTTCCTCACTGTAGCTTCTGATTGCACCCTACCAGGAGAGAATTTGTCTGGCAGACATAACTCCATACTTTGGCAGAAATGAGGAAATAGTTGAGTCTCCACATTGGAACTATGCAGATGGAGGCTAACGGATCGCTTTCATATCTTCTATGTGATCACATACCGATAGGCTGTTGGTATTTCCATTTCTAAATATTTGCCTTTATAATAATGTGGAGTGTCCATGTCTGTTGGATACATCATCTTGGGATGGGAGGAAAAAGTGAGGAGGAAGAGTTTGAAGGATAGTTTCTTAAAGTCTCCCAGGATCAGATGTTTTTGTCATTAACTCTCTTCATCCTGTGTTGTACTGGAAATGATCCACTTTGTATTTCTTTTTCTGCACTTTTTTCCCCCTTTTACCAGGATCTGGTCTGCCAGCAGCCCTTCTCACATTAATCCTATCCTGTTGCACACTTGGCACACTTCACATCACTGTTGTTTCCTTTTGCTCCTCAAAGCCAATCATAATAGTTACTCACTTTCAACCGATCTGTCCATTTAAATAGCAATAACAATATTATGCATCCTCATGACACTAAATCTGTCTACTGACATAATACTACAATTGCTTTTCAAGCCAGAAGCTGTATTGCAACCCTCTCATGATGATGAGTTTTTCCTGCAACTCGTAACTCTCTAAAAACTCTTTCTTTTTGTTTAACCCCATACCTTATCTCTCAGGTGATGCTTTCCCTGAGGATTTCTCCATCTTGGCCACAGTAAAGCCCAACAAGGGCAGCCAGTCCTTCCTGCTGTCCGTATACAATGAACAGGGCATCCAGCAGCTCGGACTGGAAGTAGGACGATCCCCTGTATTCCTCTACGAGGACCATACTGGTAAACCCAGCCCTGAGGACTACCCGCTTTTCAGAGGAGTCAACCTGGCCGACGGAAAGTAAGTGCATTAATCTGTTGATCTTTTATAGCAAAAAAAAAAATATATTAGGCTTCTTATTTTATGTAAACTATGCAAAACATGCTTTTCGTCTAGAACTGAAACAGTCAATCGGATTAATAATGATTAATTGATTAATGGAATAATCGTCAAGAAATTTAGTAACCAATTAACCATTAACTGAAGTATAGACACTCTACATGTCTTTAGCTGACAGAGTGATCCATATAGAGCAGTTATTAAACCAAGATTGTAAAAAAAATATATAAACATTTTGCATTTAAGTAAAAAAAAAAATATTTCGTCTGTCATTATGCTCTACGCCAAACTCATCAAGTGGAAATATATGAGTTCCACCTGGTTTGATATTGTAAAGTTTTCTTTAATGAGCCTTTTGCTATCCGATTATTAATCAATTAATCGAAAAACTAATCAACAGATTAATCAATTAGCAAAATAATCAGTAGTTGCAGCTCTAGTTTCTACTGAGCTGATGTTATTAAATGTTAAATGTTGGTACAGAAAAAAAACGTTTAGAGATTTAAACACTTAAAGGTTGTTGAGAATTTTTTAAAAGACTTCACTTTGAAAAAAATGGCGCATGAAAGAGCATGCATGAACCCATTTCTCCTTGTGCACGCCCTGTTTAAAATGTGCTGTTCTCATAGCTTATAAAAGCTTACTGTGTCCACATGCAGCAGGGACTATATAGTGGTCTGTATAACAAACTCAGTTAACTGACCGTTCGGAGACATGATCCCTGCTTTTTGCCCCGTTGGTCACGTAACTCCTCCACCGTGCAGTGCCTGCGCCATCTTTGTTATTAGTCACCGCTGTTGGGTGGCGACAGCGGGCCGCTGTGACAGCAACTCCCATAATGCTTTGAGAGGAGAGCCATCTGCGCAAAGCATTCTGGAATATATCAGTCTCTTTGGAGGCCATTCTTTTCTTTGTAGACACTTTTCTTTTCCATTTTTAAAGAACCGCGGTGAGAAAGGTGAGCTCCAATGACTGTCTGAAACCGTAGCTCACCACAAATATGTGGCTGAAAATTTGCATCCTCAAAAAAAAGATAGCTAACGGGGCGAGCATGCAGGACGGCCTTACGTTAACATATCGGCAGAATGATTGACACTTATTTAGATTATCCACCGGAAATAAAAGATCGTTCTTTATACCTTTAGTGAATTGTGTAACCATATGATTTAACAGGCCTTTTGGACATTAATTATCCCTGACTTGAGGTGAAAGAAAATGTAAAAAAAAAAAAAAAATACAGACCTTTTTAAAACATTTTTCAACCACCTCAGTCAGTGGTTTTCATATATTTAGCACAGTTACAGTAGTTTCACCAACTGCTGTCCAATGAATGCAAGGTTGTACAATGTGTACATAGGAGCTTTGCAGAACGGCTCGCTGAGGTTGAAGTTGAACAGCTTGAGTACCGAAATCAAACAATATGACTTTAATATTTTCTAAATAAATATGAAGAACGACCTTATTTTCAGCTCTGATGCTAGTAATGGATTGGTTCTGCTCCTATTGATTGTTTCTTTCTCTTCATTCAGAACCTTGTATATTTTGCTTTGTGGCATTGTTTCCAAGGTGTTTTTATGTCTCACTTGTTATTATGTCATTTGTATTTCTTATATTCATTTTTTCTTTTTAATCATTGCATGACTTGTACCCATTTGAGCCAACTTAGCAGTAAACCTTTTGTGTTTCAATGGAAGACACAAGTATACTCCTCTAAGTGTGTTGATTAACGTTACCTCCCATTGGCAGGTGGCATCGAGTGGCCATCAGTGTGCACAAGCAGACCATCACCCTCTTTCTGGACTGTAAAAAGAAGACCACCCAGAAGCTGCTCCGAAGCCCCAACCCCATCATTGATACCAAAGGAATTATAGTGTTTGGAACTAGAATACTTGATGAAGAAGTCTTCGAGGTAGGTCATATGCTCTCTCTCCTACTCTGGACTATTTTGAGTCGAGCTGTAGCTGCTTTCGCACCGTATGTATTTATAAATTTGGATGTGCACATAAAATTGTGAAAGCTTAAGAACGGCTGTATTGTTCGGTGAAGCACATTTACAAACTGAGTTCTTGTTTTAACTTTGATTTGGCCTCTTTTCGTAAGATAGATAAAAGCCAAGTGCAATCTCTATTTTCCCATCAATAGAGACATATGTGGCTGTGGGCTGAGCATCGGTCAACCCCAGTGCCTATCCCTCCTTACATGCTGCATAAAAGGAGTGATTGTGGTGCTGGCCACATCCTCTTGAAGATGTGCAGATTGGGCCCACAAGAACCCCACCAACCTCTGCCACACACTCATACTCAGGCACTCAGAATCACAAATCACACTTAATTTTAGGTTTCCTTATGTTCCGCAGAGTCCACAAATGAGCTCTGTTACCAGTAATTCTGCTCAGTTTCCAAATGTGCTGCGTATGTTTGCTGCTAAGATGTCTTCAGGCTTCCAACTCCATGTGGCTGCTCACTCTCCACACTATTAGTTATCTGTTGGAGGTTTCCCGTCCGGACAAGCTGCAGCATTTTTAACATGCAGATACATGCTTTTGATTCTTTAAAGCTTTCTTTGGGCTTATAGAATCTTTGAAGAGGATATATTAGTTTTGTTATATTGTAACTATCTGACAAGAAGCCTTTTGGCGATTATTTTACAGTGAGTTAACCTGCTATGGCTTAAATCATGTTTTTTTTTTTTTTTTGTAAACCAGCTTTTGTGCTGGGTATTTAAGCGTGACCCCTGTGCAGGACGTGCTCGCACACCAAAAATACAGCGAGTACAAGTGTTGTCTTTGTCCCTTCAGAGTTGCGCTTGTTTAAAGGGAGATTAGTCCATGAAGTTGAGGCCCTCAATAATAATTAGTAACAGAAACAGACTGATGTGACTGATGCTGAGCCAGCTGACCTTTGACCTTGCTGCTGCATAGCAAAGGCACACAGAAAGAAGGAAATATGACATCATCTCCCTCTACAGTACTTAGAGTTCATCGGTCAGTCTATAGGAGGCACAGATATATAGTGGGATCTGAAGCCCAGGGGGACGTTTCTTTGCTATTACAGCAAGCCTTCAAAGCTCTGCTTTATAATTTAAAAGTTGGACATGCATTTAGATTAATCTCTTCTGAGTTAATACTTTGAAGAACCATATTTCACTTCATTTACAGCTGCAAATGCTTTAGTTCTTCTTTTGTAACCTCTGCATAGCTAGAGACTATGTCTACCCATTTCTCTTTGCAGAATAACCCAGGTTCAGTCAGACTGGATTGAGAGTGTCTGCAGACATCACTTTTTAGTTTTTTCAGAGGGACTTTGGCCTGGGTTATTCATAAAAATTTTTTTTAAGCTGAACCATTATATTTCATCTCTGGCTGTAGGATAACATTTTATTTAGATGCATCCATCTACAGTATATTTGACTAGTTTTTCGGTCTCCACTGAAGAAAACAGGATCCTCACAGTATTATGTTCAAAATATTTCGCTGTGAGCATGGTTTGTTAAGGGAAGTGTGCTATATTGTCTTCTTCCACGTGCCATTTTTCATTACAGCCAAAAAGTACCATTTGGTCTCATGTGAGCAGTTCACCTTCCTCCTTCAATATTCTAGAATAAACAGGTTCCGATAGTGGATCACTCATTATTAGAAGTTATTTTTTCCACAGGATCATGTACACTTTTAGTTTTTAAAGAGTTTTATTTAGTCAGATTGAGGACTTAAAAGAATGGATTTTAAAGGCAGCAGACTTCTGGTTTAGGTGGGCATTCATGTTATGGATGGTTTTAAGTTACTTTTTAATTTGTCCAACAAAAGGCGGATGTTTTAGGCTGTCTTTGACCTGCTTGGTGCTTTTATGTTGTTTCTTTCCTGATGTTCTCCGGAAAAAAAAAATCTATAGTTTTGCTAATAGACTTTAAGTGAAGCAGGAAGCACAATCTCGGCATTACACGTATTATATTTTAGGTATTTTATTATTAAAACTGAAATTACTTATAAAATAATAACATATTCATATATTTTTCTCATGTACTTATGTATACCTTTGCTGATTTTAATCATCATTGACTGCTACTGTTATTAGGTAGCAGTTTACGTCAGCTTTTTGTATATTTATGCTTTGCCAGTTACGAAATTCTTGACTTGAGACCGGAGTTTCAGAGAAATATCTCAGCCAGCCATCAGCCAACGTTGCAGCAACAGCTCGGAAGCAACTGTGGGAGCAGACAGATTGTTTGGAAGAGATGTTTAAAAGCCTCCTGCTGTGCGTCTGTCAGTCGGGAGACATGACAGGCTCCAGTGCGTTCAGAAACTGGAAAAATATGCCACATAGTTTCCAAATTATCCTCAGGCTGCTCTGCCTTTTTTCCCATTACTCCAATCCCCCCTTGGTAGTTTAGCCTGATAGCGTGTTGACTTTTTGCCAGATTAAGAAATCACTAAGACAGAAATGGTTAAGATTTTGTTGTTTAAAATTAAAATAATGTTATTGTCTTTTGATGAGGAGAACAAAAAAAAGCCAAAAAAAGGATAATTTCTACTTTCCTGTAAATACTGTTCTAAAGACAGAGATATGATCTGTTCCTTCACACCATTAAATAACAGTGAATGGTATGATTTTACTGCTTGTCAAGCTTTTTACTGCAGGCTGTGCTTTTTTTCCTGATATACAGCAGTCAGGGGATAAGTAGCACTTTTACGCTGAGGTGGTTTTGTGGTTTGGTCTCTAACAAGGTTATTGTGGCAGCAGAAAGACTGTCTATCTACTGCTAGTACTGTATGTTCTTTTTTTTCAATAGCAGCTTACATAAGAAGTCTGTGCTTGTGATTGTGCCAGTGGAAGATGATTTAATTGGTATCGAAGTGTTTACAGGAGAAGGCTGCTATTTTACACTACAACTACAAACTTTAATGCATCTTAATGGGTCTTTAGGATGATAAACTAACACAATCATAGCTCAGGAGGAGCAATGAGGCTCTTAGGTTGGAAAATGTATGATCTTTATAGAAGTGTTGATAATAGGCAGCTAATTAGTTTAATTTGCTGTTTTTTGCCGATTTGGATACAGCAGACTTGTGGAAGAGGTCCCTCCTGTCTCCTCTTGTTTCATATTGACAAACTTATGACACTATAAACTATAAAATATAACTATACGATACACTGGGCATCATGTTGAACACACTGTCTACAAGTAGAAGCAAGGTAGTGGCAGCATCATGAGGTGGGGAAGCTTTCTTTTGCAGAGATAGGGAAAAAAGTCAAAGTTGATGAATAAGGCTAAATGCATTGCTATCTTTTAGGAAAGAATTAAGTAGTCTCATAAAAAATTAAAAGTAAGGTCAAAGGTTACCTTCCAGGAATAATGTAACCTTAACCATGTGGCAGTACCTGTAATGGAACTTATCAGAGGAGATCAGATAATCACTTCGTTCACTCGTTACATAACCTTTTCAAATTACAGACAGATATCTGGAATCTGTGATGAGAGTTAGAAATTGAAAATAGATGGTCAAAACCATTTTTAAGCAGTCTAAATGAGGATGAGAATTAGAAAACATTTCTGTCTGCTGATGTGCAAGGCTAGTACTGTACCAACAAAATGTCCTGGACTAATGATTGAGTCAGACATATTAATAAAGATATGGATCATATTTTGAACAGTCTTGCTCTCTCTGTCATAACCCTGCTTTAAACTTCTCCTCGTGTCCAACTTTAGTCTCCATTATAAGTCTTATAATTTCTAAAAGTTTGTGGCGGCAGGCTGCATATTTTGGCTTTTCTTGTGTTTTTGTTGTTTAATAGTGAGACCTGGATATGCATCAAAGAAAATCTGTGATAGTAAAGCCCATTATTGGGTCCTTGGTGGACTTCTGCAGAAAACCTGTGGTTGATCTGGGGTGGGGGGTGGAGCTAAATTGGGACCCATGGGCTGCTTTACTTCACCTAGAGGTAATTCTTAGGGCATATTTGATCTATCAAATATTGAGCTGCGTGGACATGACAGCTCTTCTCAGGCCTCCATCCTCAATCTTTAGAACCTTGGCAATAAAATACAGTAAACTCATTTAGAGTACATCTAAAGCTGGAGAAGATTCTCATGTCAGTAAAACTGCATGAACTGTTTAGGAAGGAAAGCAACAGAAAAGATGAAATCGTGGTTTCAGTTAGAGGTGCCAAAAACTTTGGGTCATCCATGGAAAGAATGAGGAGGTCTCCCCGCTGATTTAAGTCCTGGCACGGCAAGCGTACCACATGACATCATCCAAAGGTTTCCTTTATATCTTTTGATTGGCTGTTTCCTTATCTGTGAGTCATGTACTGAGAAATATACTTAAACCGAATGTTGTGGAATGAAGGATGAGGTTAAAATAATAAGTGAGATAAAGCCATATTAAAAGAGCAGTGAAGCAGTCCAACGGGGGACCTTTGGGTTGAGGCAACTTGTGGGGCTCCACAGTGCAGCAGGAGCCAGGAAAAAGTAGTAAAAATGTGCAACACATGAGCTTGATGCTCATAATAAACTTTTATATCGCATTAGCCAGATGAGCTGCACATCTCGTTTCCTCATCTGTACCTCAGGACTTTTTTTTTTTTTTTGGCTAATAATCCAACTAACATTTTTGTACTTAGTTTGCTTGAGGTATTCATTTAAAAATAAAATCTTAATGTTAGACTTTCTAAGATAAAGAAATTATTTCAGCTTCTTTATGGTAATGTTTTGTAGTTGGCTTCATGGCATTTTTCTGGCTTCCAGTGCTTTTCCTTAATTGTAGTTGCACTTTTTCCAAAGTTAAACTTCAGATTTATGTGGTACAAAGCCTGCTGGGGGTCATTTATCCACAGTAACAGTTAGCTCACTGTGTAATGCATATATAATTGCCCCCTCCTGGAGCTCCCTGTAGGGACCTGGAAATGTCATGCC